TTCCTTATCTCTGCCCTCTTGCGTACGCTTTATCCTTCCTCTTCTTGACACACTATTCCTGTTCCTTAGGTTGGCCGTTGTCCAGTGTGTTGCTGTCATCTGGAACTCCTACCTGTCCTGGAAGGCGCATCAGCTTTAAGACTGCCTGGCTCCATTTTCTCCATGTTGCAGTCATGCAGCTTGAGCTGCCCTGGTCAGTCAGACAGCCTCCCCCAAGGGGCATACCAGATCAATGGGGTTGGGTTGCTGGCCAGAACTAATGGGATGAATGCTCTGAAATGGCTCATTTCACTCTAAAATGAAAACTGCCTGCCTGTAAAAATCACTAGAATTTTATAATAGTTATTCCCACCACATAGTGTGAACTCCATAAATACTTTTTAACCATATAACTTTGTCAACTTTTTTTTAAAGAATTATTTTATTTTATTTACTTATTTACTTATTTTAATTTGACCAGAGAGGGACAGAGCAAGAGAGAGAAAGTGAGAAAGTAAGCTGCCTGGTCTGGGATTCGAACCATTTTCGATCATGTGGTAGACCAGCGGCCTTAACCACCATGCTACCTGCCAGCCCCAACTTTTTTTTTTTTTTTAGAGAGATTTTTGCTATAGGGCACGTGCACTCACTGGAGAGACAGTGAATGAGAGAGAAAGTGAGAAATCACCCCCGCCCCCCAGGAGGACAGCTATGCTGCAATCTCCTCCATTCTTCTCTTGGGAGTTTGGACATGCACACACACGCGCCTGGTGTGAGTTTCAAGCTGCCAGGTCCAAGTTTCTAACCATGGTTGTCCACGTGGGAGTCCTGTGCCTTAACCACTATGCTACCTGCTGGCCCCAACCTTGTCAACTTTACACTCATATCCCATCAAATAACATTTGTCCCCACTTATAGACACATCTTCTGCTCTAACCCTTCCCAGCTCTGGTGTGGCTTCAGCTTTCTGGTACCCCCTCACACTGTATATGGTGCCTCCGTGAACATGTTAGTAAGTATGTAATCTGGAAACCGCAGAGGTAATAAGAAAGACCCAGGAGAGAACTATTGGGGAGTCCAATTTCTAGAGCTGGGAAGAAGCCTAGGACTGCCAAGCCCTGTGGTCTCCAGATGCAGTACTGCAGCCTATGGATGTGAGTAGTCCATCCACACCATGAGTTAGTGGCACTAGAAACTTGAACCCCAGTTTTCTTACTTCCAAACAGGTATTCCCCCCCAACATTTACTTATGTATTTATCTATTTATTTGTTGTGATTTTCAAGCCATCTGGTCTGGGTCTCAAACCACCGTCAGCCATGTGAGAATCCAGCACCCCATTTAACACCTGTTGACCCAACTACCAGGTGATCTTAATCCAAAGGTCAAAGGCAAAGTAATACCGCTTCTGTGATTCCCAGAAAACAGACCTTTGCTAAACTACCACTTTGGGCAAACTCAGAAGCATATCCACTGGTCTTTTGTGGTTTGAAAACTGTTGAATTTAGGCCCTGGGACTGTAAGAGATCAAGAATCCTGAACGGACTTAGCTGTGGCAGACCACCTCCCTGTGGACCCCATAGTGTTGGCCAGTTGCCAGTTGGCCACAGCTGGTCGCAGCTGAGTCTGAGCAGCAGGGCATCCGTCCCAATGCCTCTGGCCCATCTCTTGAGGCGGAGGACAGGGTCAGCACCACGGACAGCTCCCGTGCCCCAACCTCCCGGTCAAGGGCGGGAAGATGCGACCCCAAACTAGTCTGGTCTGGGGAAGGGCCCTGGTCACTGCCACCTGTTTTGAATGGGGGTGAAGGACTCTCCTAGGTCCCAGAGCCGTCTTTACGCACCAATCGGCTTTTCGTTCTCCCGACTCCAGCCTCAGCCCCAGGAACACAGTCTCGTGTCCGGGAGCGAGCCCCTCCAGGGACTCGGGACTGCCGATTTGAAGTTGCGGCTGTCATTGCCTTTACAATCAGTGCATGTTCTTCACTGACGTCAGTCGGAGCTGTCCTGGCGCTTTATAAGGCTGGCAGCAATCCCGGGACAGACCCTGTGTTTCCCAAGGCGCCCTCAGCCTGCCCCGAGGGGCAGAGACTGGAGCTCCGTCTCGCACCGTGCAAACGCTCTCGGACAACCTGTGAGTGGCTTGGAGCATCTGCCCAGACTCCCTCCACACCAGGACTCTGCGTTCGGCTGGTCCACCACGACCTGCCGGGTGGGAAGGCGGGAATGAAGGGGTGGAACAGGACTGGCGCAGCCGCTGGTGCTGGAGGGCAGGCTGTGGGCACCCAGCAGCAGCCCGGGGGGAGGCGGGGGG